CGCCTCCCTCCGGAAGGGTGGCCAGAAGGGACTGAAGGAACTTTGCCACGCCGGGGTTCTGGCAATTCGCCCAAGTTGGCTGGATCTCGCAGTCCAGAGGCTGCTGACTGAGCTTACCTGGCAGAGGAGATGCCTGTGCTTCTCGCCTGCCGCAGGGGGGCAGGTTGAGGACAAGGCGCTGGTTCCAGCCCAGTCGTGGTGGCTGCTTGTTTTCCCCCCCAACCCCCAGTGCAGGGGGGGCGGGGAGTTCTGTAAATACCGGCGGGCCAGATTGAGGACCCTGGAGGACCGTATCTGGCCCTCGGACCGTAGTTTGAGGCACCCTGATCTTCCTGTTCCTATCAGTAAACCTCCCTGCCACTGAAGGGATTGAGGAAATCACTACCTGTGCTCCTGATCCTGCAACCAGTCTCCCTAATGACCTGAAGCCCTTCTTAATCACTTTTGGGCTTTTCTCTGTAATCTCGTCACTATCAACTTGGATGACCAAAAGCGGGTAGTAGTCTGAGGGCTGCACCAGACCAGGGAGGTTCTTACTAATATCCCTGACCCAGGCCCCAGGGAAGCATCAGACTGCCCTGTGGGAGGGATCTGGTTGACATATGGGGCCCTCAGTTCCCCTCAGAAGGGAATCACCTACAACAATTACCTTCCTTTTTTTCTTGGCTGAAGTAGTCCTGAGGTGTGGGGGTGACTGACTCACTCTGGATGTCTTCCCAGGTGGACCTTTCTTTCCATCCTCACTTGCCTGGCTCTCAATTTCCAAAGCCCCATACCTGTTGTGCAGCAGTAACTGAGGAGGCAAAGGAGGATGGAAGGAGATTCACCTGCCTCCCCGGCCTCCCCGAGGAGGGACCTGTTTCCATTCCCTGCTGTCTTTTAGGTCCCCTCCTCTTAACTGGGGGCAAAAGGACAGGGTATCCGGTGCTTCATGTGAAACCTGTTTGGTCCACTGTACAGCATGGGAATCAGGATATTCCAGAAAAAAAAACAAAACATGACTACAAGAGCATCCTAAAAATTAAAATGAGAACTCTTTAGTTCTCAAATTAGATTGCTGAAGCCACTGACTGATTCAGTGTTGCTCACTGTGGCACTCATAAACGTTCCCCTTCTAGGATAGGCATGTTTCTTCCAGATCTTTGCTCAAAACCTTAAAAAAGCAAGATGAAGGAGCCACATTGAATTTGGCTGTTGAACAAAGAGGCAACTAACTTTTCATCACTTGTATTTCAAATGTGCTAAGTAGAAGTTAGCATAGTTTGCAAGAAGTCCAAGAAAGATTTTTTGCTTTGAAAAAAGATGATTCACATTACACATATTAGAGCCTGATCTTTCAAGAGTGCTGAATATCCTCCATTTGCTGTGACATCTATGGCTGCCTACCAGCTCTCAGCAGGTGTGCAGGGCATCAGAGAATTAGCCCACTGCTTTGCGACATCATGCAGTATTAACTTCTTTCAAAGGAGCAATGTTACTGAAGTTTTGTATTGTTTTAGAAAGGAATTGATGCACCAGAGGAGAAACAAACAAACAAACAAAGAAAAAACAAACCTCCACAACAGGTAGGTGACATTTACAGAGATTAAAGAATACATAGGAAAGAAAAATCCGCTATGGAATCATGTTAACTACAAAAGTAGGTCCTTGTTTAGGAACATACTCACACATATTCTAAAATGCCAAGTCAATCCCACATTTTAGAGGATATTAAAGTGCTTAGCAGAGTTAGGGCCATAGATTCGGTATTTTCATTGCCAAGAACTGACACATTAAAAGTATGAAATTATGTGAGAAGAGATTCTTCTGTCTAAGGTGTTGGATTTTTTTTCCCTGTTCTCCTCAAAATTTAAATTTTCTTGCAAAATATTTCAGCACCATTTTATTTTGTAAAAGGATACTCTTAAATATGTGTTGCAGCAATATAAGAATGCTCAGTTTTAATATTTTTGTATAAATTTGATTTTTCAATTTTAAATGTTTTCTAACTGTACATATAGAAAGCTAAGAAGAAAATATATTTCTTTAAATATTTTGAGTTTTTTGAAATAATATTTTTATAATATATTATCTTGTAAAACATCTATTCTTACTGATACGTATTTTTAACGTTAGTAATTTGTGCTTTATGAACAGAACATCAGTGAAAGACAATTAGATATTCTTTTTTAAAAATTACTTTTGACATCCATTTTGTATTTGAAGCTTGCATTTTTACTGTAAGATATATTTTCACATTTTCTCTTTAATACAAGGATTCCCATCCAAAATTTTATGTGCAGATTTAAAAAAAAAACCAAACCAAAACCAAACAAACAAAACCAAATAAAAAAAAAACCCAACTCATCAAAACAATACAGCTAATGTCAAAAACCCACAAGAATTTTCAGTGTAGATCATTTCAAAGTTCAAAATCACACACACAGGTGCACACACCAAAGTAAAAATGGAAACTTTTACAGCAGATAAGGCTCATTGAAACTAAAGTTCATGTTCTCATTACCTACCCTCATCTTGCACAGCTCCAAATAGAATCAGTGAGAAAAATCAGACTTACCTTCTGAATTGTTATTATTCCTTCCTGGGTTTCTTTGTCAACGGAAATTTTGAATACCCCCAAACCATCACCATCCACAATCTTATACTCCATTTCAGCATTAGGTCCCACATCTGCATCTGCAGCTTTTATTCTGGCTACCACAGAAGCCACTGGCAAAGACTCTGGGACATTATACTGATATGACCCTGTGAAAAGTAAGAATTAAAAGAATTCAGAGTCTTCTGGGACTGAGGATAAAAAAAAAATCTAGCCTTCTTAAAGTCTATCTTCTTTTAAATTACACACTTGCATATTTACTCAGGCTACCATAATGTATTCAGTTTAAAGTAGAATTTTGCTAGATATTCCTCGTGACTCTACTTTAAGTACTATATGCATAATTTCTTCACTCAACGAGAGAAGTACAAGGCAAAGAGGCAAAAACATTATTCAAAACTTAAGTACAAATCATGACACAAATGCCTGCTACAGAGTTTCAGTGCAGAAAATATTTTACTTTGTTTTCCACAAAAGAGGCAAAAAAAGAAGTTAAGTCAAATAATATCAGTATAAACTCTTATTTTTACATAGCTGTTTATCTTGATTAGGCAGTTTCTAATCTGAATATGACCAGAAACAGAGATTTATTTATTTATTTATTTATTTAACATCTGCATTCTTGAAAATTCCAACTTTTTCATTCAAGTAGAAAATGGTATATATGCTGTCAAAGGGGTACCTGAGTGCAGTCTGTAGCCAATAACACCCTCAACTTAAAAAATAACTTCAGTTATTCTACTATTATTTCAAGCACTTGATGGTTTGAAATAACAGGAAATTTATTACACACACATCTATTTTTTATATCATTGGAGGTGAGGCTGGAGTAGACATAACTATATTCTTCATATTATTTCAATTGTATTCAGAAATGACTTTTTTTTCTTTTTTTTTTCTTTTTTTTTTAAAAAGGAAAAAGCACCCCAGACAGAATGCTATTAATAAACCGAGCTCTTCAGGTTTGAGCATACAACTGTGTACTCCTTTCTTTGGTTAGGATGAGAGCCATCTTGGTCAAAGAAAGTAAACGGAGGGAAGATGACTTTCCAGCTCTTCTGTGATTAACTCCTTAGGAAACACTGCATAAACAAGAGAAACCCTGATAAAATGCCAAAGGAATATGAAGGGTTAAGAGTCAAGCTATAGAATTACACATCCTGAAGTCCAGCTGGCAAGAGTTAAATATCTATTAAAGTTTTGGTTTTTTTTTCTCTTTTTATTCATTTAAAGGAAGTAAAAGCCATTAATAAATGTAGCTGTTGTACATCATTTCATTTGATCTGAAACCTATTAGGTAAAGAAAAAAGACTCTTCCAATGTAATAAAAAAATTAATAATTATGAATAATAATAATAATATACCTTGCTGTCAGTGATTTTCAAAGTACTTAACATGGAAGCTGAGCACTTTTATCCTTTGTTTATAAATAGCATGACATGTAAAGAAAATACCAATTTTTAGAAATAATATTATAATTAATATTTTTACAAAGTAACCTACGTCGTGGAAAGCGGGGTGGGTTGTCATTAACATCAGTCAGTGTGACAGTTACAGATGTAGTCCCTGATAATCCACCATTCTGCCCCACCATGTCCTTTGCTTGAATAACTAGTAAGTATTGGTCCTTGGCTTCTCTATCCATATTCGGAAGGGCAGTCTTGATGACACCTGCAGTAAGACAAAATATGTCAATGGTTGAACAAGCAAATACATTACCACAAAAGCTGGGTTTGTCTTTAAAAGCAAATGCGATTGCAACAAGAGAGGAAGGAATTTTCAACACTATTGTCACAGTTTTTGACTAGAGCTGAACTGACATAGTGTAAGCTTATTTTAAGTAGTCACCAAAATCCACCAATTTTTATTTAGTGCTAGATTCTTTGGGTAATGCCATCCATGACACTTTTTTCCAAATATCTTCTCCCTGAACTATAGAACTCATAATGTCTTCGGTAACACTCCCTTCCCTGGAAGACATAATTTTCTGTGTTTGATTTCCCACTGTTTTAGAGCTAGGAAGAAAATAATATTCTGCATTCATTTCTAAGGTTCCAAGGTCAAGATTCATTTCACAATGTCTTGAATAGTTATTCATCACATTAACTCTTACTAATATTGATAACGTGCCACACTCCGCATGTACAAGAAATTATCTTATTTTACCATATATTGGCTTTAACAATACCCACTTCTAAAGCATTAGTGTAATTAGGATATTTTTTATTTATTAATAGAAATAATGTAATATCAGGAGTAATTTTTGTTATAATATTTGATTATCTACATGAAATTTGTAATTAATTTTTTTGAAATGAAAACCAGAAGAAAGCTCCATGTTTCATAATTTCAGTTCTGTTGACATAGATCAGAAAATAAATATGCCTTCTCAAAATGTGATGACTTTATGAATATTTCACGTTCAGTACACAGTACAGCCGCTAACTCAGATTTCCAGAGAGGCAGCCATTTACTCCACCAGCACTTAACTTCAGCAGCAAAGGAAACATAAACAAACTAAATAAAGGAGAGGCACATTGGGACACATATCTCTTTATCTGATATTTGTTGAATGTTTAGTTAGAGTTTTATTTCTTTCTTCCCTTATGAATGCAGGACTTGCCATTAATCATCTCTGGGCTGAAACATTTATTTCACAAATGTACTGTCTGGCATTATTTCATGCATTTTACAAGACATGTTAAAATACAATTAATACACAATTTCATAATGCTACTGTTTCCACATTACTTTTTTCTGGTCTGCTTTTTTTTCTACTGTAGTTAAACTGCCAGGCAACATTAACCAATCATTTGGAAGTTAATTATCATGCACACAAGTAATTTGAGTATCAAATTTAAAAAGTGAAAATCTATGCAAACATTTCAGTCTGAATCCTTAAAGATTTTGATTTACCAGAAACTACCATATTATTGTTCAAGGGATGTCTGCAGTTATTATGACAATATATGCAGTCATTATGACAGTATATTGTCCCAGCTTGGGTTGGGGCAATCCCAGGTATGTGTACAGACTGGGAGAAGACCTCATTGAGAGCAGCCCTGCTGAGAAGGACTTGGGAGTCCTGGTGGACGAGAAGCTTGACATGAGCCAGAAGTGTGCGATTGCAGCCTGGAAGGCCAACTGTATCCTGGGCTGCATCAAAAGAGGGGGGGAAGCAGGACAGGGGAGCTGATTGTCCCCCTCTACTCTGCCCCTGTGAGGCCTCATCTGGAGTGCTGCATCCAGGTCTGGAGTCTCCAACACAAGAAAGATGTAGAACTGTTGGCGCAGGTCCAGAGGAGAGGTACGAAGATGATCAGAGGGCTGGAGCTCCTCTCCTGTGAAGAAAGGCTGAGGGAACTGGGCTTGTTTAGCTTGGAGAAGGCTTCAGGGGACATCATTGCAGCCTTCCAGTACTTGAAGGGAGCTTTTATAAGCTGGGAAAGCAACTTTTTACATGGGCAGATAGTGATAGGACAAGGGGAAATGGTTTTAAACTAAGAGAGGGGAGATTTAGGTTAGATATTAGGAGGAAATTTTTCGCCCAGAGGGTGGTGAGGCACTAGAACAGGTTGCCCAGAGAAGCTGTGGATGCCCCATCCTTGGAGGTATTCAAGGCTAGGTTGGATGGGGACCTAGGCAGCGTCATTTAGTGGTTGGCAACCGTGTCCACAGCACGGAAGTTGGAACTAGATGAACATTAAGATCCTTTCCAACCCAAGCCGTTCTATGATTCTATGATAAATTGTACATACATATACATGGAGAGAGAGCAAGAGACAGAGAGAGGAAAAAGAAAGTGCTATATATCCTTGCTGAGGATGGACCTGTTGCAATTTGAAGATAATTATAGTACTTATTTCTACAAATTCAGATCTTAAATAGAGTGTGACCCTTTGGTTATAGCACTGAGATTCAAGTCTGATTCACCTCATAGATTTTTTGTGATAAATACAGTAAATAGTTTGTTTCTCTTTTGTCTCAACTTGTCCATCTCTGAAACGAAGATTATAATTCTTCTCCAAGTTGGTGTAAGTAAAATCTCAGGTGCCAAACTGAACTGACAGAGCGAGAACTTACTTTCCCCCTCTTTGAAATGATACAATAGAATAGGTAATGTTTATTAAACCGACAAAGGATTAAAGATTGCATCTTGTTGTGGTTTAAAATATTCACAAAATTTCTGGAAAATAGTAAAAATGTGTTTCACAAGTAATTTGTTTTGAAAGTGGAAACAAAATGTTGTATCAGATAAGGATAGAGAGCACAATGCTTTCTTCTTCAAACTAATAAAGAAAATATACATTCCCCACAACAAAACTTCAGTTTAAAAAGTAGAACAGATGATCATGCCATAAATCTATACTTAAGGAAATATGGCTATGTGACATTCAGATATTTCTAAAACAAACATCTGCAAAAAAACTTATTTGCAGCATAGTGGAATTTTCATTTATCTGAAAGAGCAACAGGCAGCAGACCAGGGAGCTGGCAGATTGATAAGATAAAAATTCTGATTCCAGCAATGTCTGCTTATCACATAGGTCACGTGTGGTTTTCATAATCTGTTATGAGGAATAAGAGATTGAAAGATCAACAAAATCCAAATGTATTTAATTAACCAACAGATCATAGTCTCTTAAGTTCCTAACAAGTTTTAATGTACATTTTCTTTTTTTTTCTCAGTAGTAGTGCAGAGAGTTTGTGGAAAGTTACCTGTTTTTGGCTCCACAGAAAAGTAAGGTTGTCCTTGCAATATGCTGTAAACCACTCGAGCACTGTTGCCATAAGTAGGATCATCTGCATCAGTGGCTGTCACTTGAACCACAGAGGTACCTGCAAAATGTTTAAGAGACTGTTGTACATAAAAGATCTGAAAATCTAAACTATGCTTATTCAACATGCTGTGCCAATATACATCTGGAAGTGTGTGAGGTGGCTTTTTCACAGCTGTTCATCATTTCCATGCTGATTGAGCTTAGACTGCAAGGTCCCCTTCCAGTAGGATTGGCTGTTACAGAGTTCCATCTTCCCAAACAATCTCAGCCTTTGACTCACAGCAAATCAACCATTTCTCTCACTAGCTCCCCCTCTCTATCTCTGCCTTCGGTTGGTGGAGGGTATTTGAACAATATTTCTTACCTGATGGTGATGCCTGGAGTATGCTTAAGTATGAAATATGGTAATAGTTTTCCTTGGAAGAGAAGTCTGCGTGCTAAAATTGTACTGAATACTTAGAGATTCAAATACACATACCTATATAAGTAAAATGTAGTGTGATAATTGCATACACATATATACAAAAAAATAATTTTAGCCTATGAAGTTATTTACCCTTTTATAAAGAGATGGTTGAAGAGTTTGTTTCAGCTCAGAGAAAAAATGGTGAGAGCTGTCTCTAAATTCCTTTAAAAAGTATTAATTTCTTTCAATAATCTGCAATACTTCATTTCTGTTGTGGTAATAATTTGCTGCATAAACATTTCTTGAGCAAGTAATGTCTCTATGTTGACAGGAATAAGAAAGTGAAATTTCTAACTGGCTAGCAAGAAGGGTATATTTTGTGAGGATCTCATTCTGCATCCAGTTCCTACTTATTATGTTCTCCACATCGGTTCCCATTTGTTTTGTTCTGTAGAACAGCTTCCATGAGGTATACTGAGAGCAGAATAAAACACTTGGGAGACAGGGCCTTGGCCATGGTCACCATCTTTTATTAGCCAAAAAGGATTATTTTTTCTCACTGACAGATTGACTGGAACATTGAGACCTTCCATTAAACAGCCCAGGGACCCATTTGGAGGTTAGTCTGCAAATTAATATTGTAGCAATTTGGCAGATGCCCAGTAAAGGTCTTCAACAGAGGATCAGATTCTTCCATAAACTAGATTTAGACACAAGATTAGAGAAAAGTATTTGTTAAAAAGAGTATTAATTTGGAAAATTAACACATTTTTACAGGCAAAACTGAGAGTGGTAAGTCTATAAATCACTCTTTAAGAACAAACTGCAATCATAGAATCATAGAATGGTTTG